CCCACTCTTGGTTGGATCTCCGTCTCTGTTTCCTTCATCTTCACTCATCCCTGGCTCTCTTTTTCTTCATCTTCATCACCCTTCTCCCGTTTTCTTCATTTTCATCACCCTTGGCCCCTTTTCTTCATTTTCATCACCCATGGCTCATTTTCTTCTTTTTCATCACCCTTGGCTCTCTTTTTCTTCATCTTCATCACCCTTCTCCCTAATTCCCAGTCTTCGACACCCTTATCAGCAATCCCTCACCCTTGTCCCTACGCCCTCACACCTGCACTCCGCCGCCGACCCACATCACAAGACCTAGGCCTATGAGAAACACCCTAAGAAGGACACAGGGCATAGCGGAGGCGGCGCTGGTGGTGTTGGTCCTGAGAGCGAAGAAGTCAGCTATGCGGTCCAAGGAGCCGTTGTTAGGGTGGCACTGAAGCTGGAGGGCTTGGCACAGCAGGGGGTACACGTCCACCTGGCTCACTGCTCTTGATTGGTGCCCCGAGGTGAAGGCTAGGGTGTGGAGAGGAGCGGGGGTTAGGGATCGTGTGTGTTGTGTGGTGTGGTGTGGTGGTGTGTGGTGTGGTGTGGTGTGGTGTGGTGGTGTGTGGTGGTGTGTGGTGGTGTGTGGTGGTGTGTGGTGTGTTGTGTGTGGTGTGTTGTGTGTGGTGTGTTGTGTGTGGTGTGTTGTGTGTGGTGTGTTGTGTGTGGTGTGTTGTGTGTGGTGTGTGGTGTGTGGTGTGTGGTGTGTGGTGTGTGGTGTGTGGTGTGTTGTGTGTTGTGTGTTGTTGTGTTGTGCCGTGTGTATTATGTATGATCTGAATGTGTGTGTACCATAGTGTGTGTGTTTGTCAATAAATCTATGGCATAACTGCAATGTGTTTGTGTCAGTATGTGTATATCAATAAATAACATAACCGTAGTGTGAGTGTACAGTGTATGTATATCATGTGCATACTTATATACAAATATTTGTATAAAGTGATAAAACATTAATGCATGACTACGAAACAGGTACTGTATACTTAGGAATCTCATGAAATAAATTTCCATTCTACTATATAAAGTTAACCTAGCACAGTACGGTTTATTTATTTAAAGAAAATTGGTTTCGAAGACCAGCCTGGAAAAATCTATTTTACCTCTTTTATTGGTTTACTTACAAATTACTTAATTCATGTTTACCTGTTTGAATCTAATCTTATAATTTAATTCAGTTTTAGCTTTACAGTTAATGAAGAATGATGATTTATGAGAACTACAATAATCATAACTTTTCGCGAGTGAATAGAGTTTCATAAAAGACTCTCTAGGGAAAAAATGTCATTAAACCACTAACAGAGTTCTACTTAGAAGAGAGAAGGGAAGGGAAGGGAAGGGAAGGGAAGGGAAGGGAAGGGAAGAGAGGGGAAGGGAAGAGAGGGGAAGGGAAGAGAGGGGAAGGGAAGAGAGGGGAAGGGAAGAGAGGGGAAGGGAAGAGAGGGGAAGGGAAGAGAGGGGAAGGGAAGAGAGGGGAAGGGAAGAGAGGGGAAGGGAAGAGAAGGGAAGAGAAGAGAAGGGAAGGGAAGAGAGGGGAAGGGAAGAGAGGGGAAGGGAAGAGAGGGGAAGGGAAGAGAGGGGAAGGGAAGAGAGGGGAAGGGAAGAGAGGGGAAGGGAAGAGAGGGGAAGGGAAGAGAGGGGAAGGGAAGAGAGGGGAAGGGAAGAGAGGGGAAGGGAAGAGAGGGGAAGGGAAGAGAGGGGAAGGGAAGGGAAGAGAAGGGAAGAGAAGAGAAGAGAAGAGAAGAGAAGGGAAGAGAAGGGAAGAGAAGGGAAGAGAGGAGAAGGGAAGAGAAGAGAAGGGAAGAGAAGGGAAGAGAAGGGAAGAGAAGGGAAGAGAAGGGAAGAGAAAGAGGAAGGGAAGGGAAGGGAAGGGAAGGGAAGGGAAGGGAAGGGAAGGGGAGAAGGGAAGAGAAGGGAAGAGAAGGGAAGAGAAGAGAAGGGAAGAGAAGGGAAGGGAAGAGAAGGGAAGAGAAGGGAAGAGAAGGGAAGAGAAGAGAAGATAAGAGAAAAGAAAAGGGAAGGGAAGAAGGAAAAAGGAAAAAGGAAGAAGGAAGAAGGAAAAAGGAAAAAGGAAAAAGGAAAAAGGAAGAAGGAAGAAGGAAGAAGGAAGAAGGAAAAAGGAAAAAGGAAAAAGGAAAAAGGAAAAAGGAAAAAGGAAAAAGGAAAAAGGAAAAAGGAAAAAGGAAAAAGGAAAAAGGAAAAAGGAAAAAGGAAAAAGGAAAAAGGAAAAAAGAAAAAGGAAAAGGGAAAAAGAAGAAAAGGAAAAGGAAAATTAAAAGGAAAAGGGAAAGGAAAAGGTAAAAATGAAAAATGAAAAATGAAAAAGGAAAACTAAAAACCGAAAAACGAAAAAGAAAACGAAAATAAAAATAAAGATATCAAGAGAAACAAAAAACGAAAGCGAAAAAAACTACAGAAATAAAAGAAAGAAGCTACGAGAGAGAGCGAGAGAGAGAGAGAGAGAGAGAGAGAGAGAGAGAGAGAGAGAGAGAGAGAGAGAGAGAGAGAGAGAGAGAGAGAGCGAGAGAGAGAGAAAATAAAACAAAATAAAACCGACTCACAGGGCCCGGTGGCGAACAGGATCCCCCTCATGTCCGGCATCTGGTCTACAGTGTTATCGAAGCCGTGGTGACCTATGCTCTCAGATTCTTGCTCTGGCAGGGAGTAGTTGGTTTCGGGGCTCTTGAGGGCGTAACCTTCGGGAGTCGAGGAGGGAGGAATAGTTGATGGAGAGTTAGTTGGCGAAGGCGGTGATTTTTGGTTATTTTTTTTTTTTTTTTTATAGAGAAAGGTGGTTTGTAAGTGGTGTGTGGTAGGGGAGGGGGAGGGGGAAGGTATGGGTGGTAATGAGTGTCTTCGCAGTGCATGAGATGTATTTGATCGGTTTTTGGGTTATATTTTTTTTTTTTTTTTTTTTGGGGGGGGCGAAGACATAATTGAAATCGGTTAAATACATCGCTTGCACTATGAAGAAATATATTCTCATTCATACCTTTTTTTCTAAATTTGTTGCAATACACACATTTCGTGGTTTGTAAATCCGCATGCATGGGTGGCATTGGCCTGGGTTGGGTAGAATGGCGAGTAACGTATCTGTAACCCTCTTCCTCCTGCTTTTTTTAACCGATAAAACGAAGAATCTAAAATGTGTAACCGATTTATCACGTTTGTCAAGGACGCTCAGTGTCGCCAACGTGAATTATAAGTGAAAGTGTTTGAATTTTCCTATAAATTCCCCGTCTCCTCGCTCTCATATTCTGGATTCTCTCCTGTGTACCTTATTCGGTATTAAACAGAAAAGTTAGTCTTGGATTAAGTCAAGTGTCCCAAAATTTCTACGGTTTCATCTGACAGCAGTCTTTGGTGAAAGTGAAAACTCGGCGAGGACTGGGATTGAGATGTTAGAATTTACTGACGTGACAGAACGGTTGTCGGACAGAAAGTATTTTGTTTTTTTCCTGGCGTGGTCTGCAGTCAATGTTAATAAATATTTCAATTCTCCCTCCCGCCTTTTCCGTAACCTTTATCAGCTTTGTTGCACGATGGACCATTCTGAGTTCTCTCTCCGTCTGTCCCCTCCTTCTCTCCCTCCCTCTACTTTTCCCCCACATCTCCTTCTCCCTCTACTCTTCCTCCCATCTCCCTCTCCTTCTACTTTTCCCCCATCTCCCTCTCCTTCTACTTTTCCCCCCATCTCCCTCTCCTTCTACTTTTACCCCCATCTCCCTCTACTTTTCCTCCCATCTCCCTCGCCTTCTCCCCCTTCCCTTATAAATACCTAGCTTAGGCATAATAGTGAGGTCGTGGATGAGTCTGTGGTCCTTGTAGTGGTAACGTTCCTTCATGTTCTCCTTCCTCACCACTTCGATGTTCTTAGACACGCCCGGGCAGTTTCGCAGCTCCTCCTCCACCTGCAAAGGGCATGTTTGTTTATGCTTTTAACGCCTCTTTTAAATAGTAGTTTGAGATGCTTGTTTGTGTGTGTGATTAGTTATATATTTGTGTATAATCGCTTGATACTGTCAATATCAGCGTCTGGTAAAATAGGTGAAGGGAGTGTGTCTCTTTTATAGTAAAAAGCAATGATAAAAAAATATATACGCCAAGAACATATCTTTTATGGTTCAAAAGAGTAACTGTTTTATTTTCCCTCTTACGGCGATGCGATACCTGGTCCGTGTAGCCCTTCACAGGGAGAATGTTGATATAACCCACACGGCCTGTGGTCTTCACGATTTTCGAACCATCCAGGCAAGTCGCGACGTCCAGCCAGGTTACGTCGTCTGGGGTTGCCTTCGCCATGCCGTGGTCGCTCACTACCACCACGTTCGTCTGAGGAGGAACAGAAGCGTGGAGTCGAGGGATTGGCGTGTAGTTTATTGGCTTATTTGTGTTTTTTTTTTTTTTTACGTTTTAATTTCTTTTTCGTTGATTTTTTTTGTTGTTTATGTTGACGGTTCGGCGGAGAGACAGTATAAGGCTATACTCAAGTTTCTCTACCTCTCCCTCAACCTCTCACCCACAAACCCACACCTCCCTCCCTCCCTCTCTCTCCCCCTCTCCCTCTCTCTCCGTCTCTCTCTCTCCCTCTCACCCACAAACCCACCCCTCCCTCGCCTACACCCACCGTATTAAGTATGTCATTCTCAGCCATGATATCCCACAGTTCTTCCAGAGCGGAGTCGACGGCTTTGAGTGCTTCTTCGACCTCGCTGGACTCAGGGCCGTAACGATGCCCGGTCGTGTCGATCAGCTCCACGTACACCTGGGAAGGGAGGGTGTAAAAATATCCTCTCGTAAGAGTGTGTGGGTAGAATGGCGATGTTGATAATGATGACTGGGATCGCGATGGCAATGATGATGGCAATAACGATAATATTAATAGTAATGACGATTGTAAGAGGTTAAAGGCAACGATGGCAACTGTAAGGAAAATAATGACGATATCGTTATCTAAAATCAGGATAATGATGATCCAATTATTAAGAGTGGTAATGATGGTATCATCAATAGCCATTGGGAAAATGATTGTGCTGTAAACAAAAAACAAAACGAAAAAAAGCTATAATAAAAAAAAACACTAACAGAAAAGCATCTCAACTAACCATGACAAGCTTGTATCCCTCCTGCTCGATCATGTCGACGCCCTGTTTGAGGTTCTTCTGCAAAACTTGAAAGGCATCTGCAACGTGTTCATACGGAGTGCAGTACTTCGGCAGCACGTTCCCTTCCCAAGGAACATCGCAGCTGTTGTTGGAAAATGGGGGGAGGGGGGGATAATAAATGTATGCAACTGGAATATCAGGAAAACTTTCCTTTTATTGCAGAATTGATCTATAAACCGCTGGGAAAGACTGAATAAGCGAACTAACAATTACTTTCTTTGAAGTCATGGATTCAAAAGTAATATCGATTGAGATGACAATTAGACTTCTAAAAATGTAAGTCATATATATACCAGTAATAGTGATATATCCAGAGCCCACAGAAAAAAATTTTTTTTTAACGCTTTGGCGCGGGGAACTCTATGAATCTGTAAACGGAATAAAACACAAAACAACATTAAACTTGTATTTTCTCATCCATCCTTTTTAAGAGCAAGTACCTACAGTAGAATCGGTGAATGATGGTGTTGAATACTATGAATCCCAAGAATCTGTTGTGCATCTCTTGGAAAAATATTCATGATTAATACACTAATGTTTAGAGAAATTGTGTCAGAAGTTCGTTCCAAATACAATTTTCTTTTACGGACTGTCAGTTGCAAGAATAGACTTTTCATGTTCTTCTTCGTTGTTTTGACAAACCATTTTTGTGTGAAATTATTTCTTCGTTAAGGATTTTGTGCTTCGGCGAATGCATCCACAATTTCAGTAAACATACTGCCGTAAGTTATACCACGGGAACTTGTTATATGAAAAATAACGTATTGCATTTTTTGATGCGACGGAGGGTGTGTGTGTGTGTGTGTGTGTGTGTGTGTGTGTGTGTGTGTGTGTGTGTGTGTGTGTGTGTGTGTGTGTGTGTGTATGTATGTATGTATGTATGTGTGTGTGTGTGTGTGTGTGTTTTGGAAACGGAAACCACCCTCCTTTCTAACTGTAGACGATTCAAAGATCCTAGCAATGGCAAGAGCAAAAGTATATACATTACTAAGAAGCTTCAAGAATAAAATGCCCTAGCTAACCATACTTTACTTTAACTAAAACGTCCTAGCTAAGAGTACTTTATTTCAGCTAAAATGTCATAGTCAATGGTACTTTAACTAACAAATCGCCATTAGTATTTCTGCTCTTACTGCAAGTGTATCAGCATAACAGATAATGAGTTCTCAGTAGCATATCATTACGTTTCTAGTGATAGATACTAAATCCTTCTTAGTATCATAACTAATGACAATGACTTTCCTGGCAACATTTAACTAACCAGTCTGTCGTGGCAATTTGTCAAACTATCTAATTCCTAGTATTAAGCTAACTAGTCTTGAATTAGTATTCCGACAGATATATCTCCGGTAGTATTCTAACAAGTTACTAAGTTACCAAATTTTCAAACTATCCAATTACCAAACTACACACTTGCCAGACCCCCATATTTCTAAACTACCTAATTGTCAAACTGCCAAATTGCCAAACTGCCAAATTTCCAAAAAACAAATTGTCAAACTACCAAACTGCCAAATTACCAAACTAGCTTATTACCAAATTGCCAAACAGCCAAATGACTGAACTACCTAATCACCAAATTGCCAAACTACCTAATTACCTAACTACCAAACTACCTAATTACCAATTTAGCCAACATGCCAACTTTCCAAACTTCCCAACCTACCAAAACACCACCGAAACCCAATTCACCCCCTCAAAAAAAAAAAGAAAAAAAGAAAAATATTCCGCCCCTTTACCTCGACCACAGGAAGAGGGCGGTATCCATCTTGGCTTTCGTCGCCGTGATCCAGATCGGCTCCGCGTCCTGCCACCACAGCGCGTCCTTGGTTGACTCGAGGTCGTTAAGGGCGAAAGTTGCGTTTCTCACGTCGTCGTAGATGTAGTTGCCGACGATGCCGTGGCTCTCTGGGTAGAGGCCTGTTGGAGGGGTGGGGGTGGGTGTTGGTATGATGTTAGGATGGGTGTTGGTATGGTATTGGTATAGTATTGGTATAGTATTGGTATAGTATTGATATAGCATTGGTATAGTATTGATATAGTATTGGTATGGTATTGATATAGTATTGGTATAGTATTGATATAGTATTGATATAGTATTGATATAGTATTGGTATAGTATTGGTATAGTATTGATATAGTATTGGTATAGTATTGATATAGTATTGGTATGGTATTGGTATGGGTATTGGGATGATATTCGTATGGTATGGTATGGTATTGGTATGGTATTGGTATGGGTATTGGTATGGTATTGGTATGGTATTGGTATGGGTAGGGTAGGGGAAGAGAAGTTGGGGTTAAATCT